GCAAGTGCTTAAAAAATTAAAATTGAAGTCATTGAAATGTCTTGCTTTGGTGGTGGCTGAATGCTACAGGAGGAAATATTGCAAATTGCATCAATCAAACCAAACAATTTACACTGACACAGCCAAACAAGAGGTGTACGGTTCTTTTTGCAATGCTATTCAAAGTCCAGTCCATTGGGAAACCTTAGAATACGCTGCCTTCTCCATCCAGCCCCCTGACTATGGACAGCGTGGTTTATTTCAGGAGAAATATCCTTCTCTTGGTTTTAAAAGGAGGTTGTGACATTGGTGTCAGTGGGGATACGGGATGTCAGGGATTCACCACTCAGCTGCTCCAAATAACTATGCCATTCCTTAACCTCACAGAAAAAGCGTGCACATCATCTCCAGTAAGTACCTATCTGCTGTTCTGGTTTAATTAACGTCTTACAATGTTAATATAGCAGACTACTCAGCTTCTGACATGTGGAGAAGCGGTGATATATACCCTGCAATTTTAGCAGCAAAGTGATGTAGTTGTATTTAAGTTGTATTTGAATCTTCTCCAGAGCTCTGAATTGGGGTCAGAGCACTTTAACTGCTTAGAGGAAAGAAAATCCACATCTGTAGGTGGAGGTGCCCTGCCCAAACTCTAGGAAAATGTCATTGCTCTTGGGTTACACACACAAGGTATTTTTTTTCTCCTATTTCAGCCTCCCATGCTTTGTCTTGCAGTGAGACAAGAAAGCAAGAAACAACACAGTGATGCACTTGGGCTCGGGTATGGTATTGGCTCTGTTGCTATGCTCAGTTTTGGATACACTGACATCTTTCTCCTAAAAGCCTTGGACCAGACCTGGTTTTACCATTGCCCTAGAAACGTCATGGAAACAAGCAGTTCTGGTGCCTCTTTCCCGGTGAAATTGCAAAATAAAGCATCAAAGAAACCAAAGAGCAGATTTAGTTTAATTCCAAGTTTATAATAGCATGACAGAAAGCAAAGTCTATGCATGGATTTTTTTTTTTTTTTTCCAAGCTAGTGGATGTGCTTGTCTTCCTCGCAAGAGGGTTTTTTTCTTCTCTGAGAACAAAGGCTGAAACTGAAATTGTAATTTTGGGTACTTCCTATAAACCAGCATTCTCAGAGACCAAAAACCCATCATTAACTAAGCACCGTAGCGGCTTTCTGAGGTGGGGAAGTAGCAATATCCCTCTTCTTAAAAACTGGGGAACTTGAACAAGTTGCTGGCAGAAGTCAGATGGAAAGACGGTGTCTCGGTGGTTTTTTTGCCGGTGTTGCAGGTCTGTGCCAGAACTGCCTACAAAAGCCAGCGATTAGTTCTCCTTCTTGGCAGGCGGCTGAAGTGGTGCAGAAATCTTGACATTTGAACAGCAGCGGTGTTCAGCAACCCGAGTGTGACATTTCTAAAGGGTGCCCATAGGTCTTCACCAGCTTGTCCTTTCTACGGGTTGGGTGCTGGTGATCCAGCCGGATGATGCCAGGCAGCCGCATCCCTCGTTCTGTGCCTTGGGAGAGGAAGGAACGCGTTGGTGACATGACACTGCGTGGTCCAACACCAGCAGTCAGCAGGTGGTGTAGGGCTAGCGGGTTTTTGGCTTCAACAGAAGCAGAACAACCCTCGTGAAGATCTGACTGTGGCCAGATACCTCTAAAAGCAAGGCTGTTGCTAAGGCACCGCAGCCACAGAGACGAAGAGGAGACAGTTTAGTTCTCTGACTGCAGTGCCCTCCGGTGCGAGATCTGTTCCCTGTTCACTCTCCTGCAGTTCTGTTTCTCAACACGTTTTCTGGCTGTTTTCACAGTCCTTTAGATCAGGACGCTGAGGACACATCTTGGTGACATGCTGTTTGCCCGGGGAACCTGGATGGGTTCGTGGTGGGTTCAAGTCCAGTTCGTGGTGGTTTGTGTTGATGCGGTGCAGGCAGCAGGTTTGGGCAGAGCAGAGGAACAGCTCCTGAGGATGCAGCCCTGGAGGGAAGAAGGAAGAAAGAAAAAGAAGAAAAGCAAGCATAGGATTTATGAAAATCTGAACCAAAGTACAGTCAAATTAGCAGCTGGCTTTGTCAGAGCAGCCAGGAGCTCTTGCAGAGACAACGGGTCTGGGAAGAGCCAGCATGTGAACTGCGGAAAGGGATAACGCTTGGTGTTGTGTTGGTTTTTTTTTAATTCTTCCTTGGAGTGGAATTTGGATGCTGTGCTTTTGCCACAAAAGGTTGTAAAGAGAAGGTCAAAATGATGAAACGTCCCTATGAAAGAGGGCAGGGAAAGCTGGGTTTGACACTGGCTCACAGTCTTTTCCTGGGCAGCTCACCAAACCTCTCTGGGCTTCCCTCTCTTTGTATATAACCATTACGATGCTCATGTGCCAGGGGTAAGGATTAGGTGGGCTTTACAGATTTGCAATTATTTGAGATCCTCTTTGGGGAAACGCAGAGTAATTTTATTCTTCATCCCTTAAGTGTTAAGAAAAATCACAAAGAATGTGTTGTAGAGGGGAAAAGCTTGAGCAAGGAGTGCCTGCAGCATCCTTCACCATTCAGATGTTCCTAATGAAATACTCAAGATGAACGAATAGATGAAACCCACAGCCAGGACTTGTGGAGCTGAGCTGCTCCGAGGTGGAGCTGCTGAGAGCTGAGCTCTGTGTGCCCAACACCCCGCTGAACCGAGCAAACCCCGGGTGGGGGTTTCTGAAGGAAAAGATGGGCTTTCCTTCTGCATCACCCCACGTTTGCATTTGGAGATGTCACTGTCCTCTGCACATTGTCTCTCTTCTCTCTCTTTTGACGCTGATGTCCTTTCCTCCAAACCCAGCTCTCTCCAGCCCCCTACGAGATGTTGCTGTTCCCCAAACGTTGGGCACAGAGAGATGGCAGAGAGGCTGCAAAACCGTCTCTGCTGTTTAGTGGAGTGAATAGAAATGGCTTTGGAAGTACTCTCCCGTTGCTCCAACTCGCTTGGCACCCTTCAGAAACTGCCTGTGCTTGGTTTCTAAACCACACGCTTTGAGAGCAAGCTGCTGAACGTTTTGCCATTCAAGAGAGCGGTCAGCAATCGCCAGCCGTCAGAGCCCCGGCAGTGTCTCTGCCTCACATTAAGCAAATCCTGTTTTTTATAAAAATGCATCAGCTGGGCATCACCTCCTGCCTGTCTGTCTCCTGTCAGAGAGACATGATTCCTGTTCAGCTCTGCCGTGTACAGCCTGCTACAGGGTATGTAGTGTTTTTGCTGACATGAGCCTGGCAGGTAGCAGCATCTGACTTTGAATCAGTCGGAGCTTCGGTTCCCTGGCCATTAATTCCTACCAGGGCAGTGATACGAGTGCATCCGCCTGGGTTGGCAGCTGCCCTTGTCTGGACTTTGGTGGCTGCTTTCCCCTGCTCAGACTCTGGATAATCACGCTCCCTGTGGGTTCTTCTCTTTCTGACACTGGAAGTGCCCTTCAAGGGGTTAGTTGTCGGAAAAAGTAGGTCGCAAGCCCACAGTTGGGATAAGGTTGGACTGATGGACTGAATTAGCGAATTCTGCTCCTGGCTTTGGGGAAGAATCTCCCAAGCTGGATGGGTGGAGCAGAGAAAGAGCTTCAGGCTTGTCATTCCCCTGATGACAGTATGGGTCCTCTGGGTTACTGGGCTGGTGCACGTGGGTGACGATGCTCTGCGCGGGGTGGAGCACTTGTCCTGCACTGGAGGGATGGGGAGGGCTCAGAGGTGGAAGGATTAGGTGGAGAGTGGGGTGGCAGCACCGGTGGGCTGTGGCCGTGGGATAACCGAGGGTTTGGGCTGTCCCAGGTGCATCTCTTGGCAATGATGTGGGCTCAGGTCTGGCTGGCTGTGGGGAGCAGTGGGTTGGTACCCCACAGCCCATTGCAGTCCTGCATGCCAGTTGTTGGGTGCGTCGGGGGGATTTGTGATGCTCTCTGCGGTTAGCGGCCAGCATTGGCAGCAGCACCGGCTTTGCCATTCCGCTCATTCATGGCAGACGTGGATGGCTCTGCCTGGCATCCCGTAACGTCTGTTGGAGGACCTGGAGAAAGTATTTGGCACACAGAGTCCAGACAGAAGTATGTGTGTGTGTGTGCTTTTTCCCTTGCTTTAGGTTTTTATGTCATGGAAATATTTTGTATCACTTTCACCCTTGGAGCCACTGTTGAGGAGCTGGTTTGGGGACTTTTCTGCATCTTTTCATCTGAGGTTTAAATCAATTTTGTATCAGGATAGACAAGTGAAAGGTGGGTTGAGTGAGGAATTTCTGCACACCAGTGGTTTGTAGCAGGCAGGTGAAGGAGAGGTTTTAATATGCCACTTGGCATATTAAAAAAGAAGTTTAGCTACTTATTTGAAAGTTGTTGTAAAACATATAATTTTAATTTTAAAATCTTTGCTCCTGAGAGTCGGTAACGAAAATCGAAAAGGGGTGAAACTAAGAGAGAAAGGGAACACTTTGTCAGTGGGACTTTTGTATAATTATATCTTAAATAAATGGAAGATGACCATCAAACTGCTCTGTTAATATTTACAAAACTTGTGTTGGCCAGTTCTTGGGGTTTCTTTGTTTGGAAGCATTTAAAAGAAGGGCATCAATTAAACTTATTGTGAGAGAAGTTGGGCACTGTGGGCTGCAGGCTGCAGGAGGAGCTATCAGCAATCAGTTAAGATTTTTAGATTCTTTTTTTTCTCTTTCTGGCTCTTTTGAGTTTTAAATAAATCACATGTATTTTGAATAGTGTTCTTCCCGAGCAACAGATCTGCCCATGGGGCTGATGTCCAGGTAGAGAGAAGAGGCGGGGGGGTGGGATGCCGAGTCTGGCTCAGGGGCTTCTGAACCAGTGTGTCCTGAAGTCAGTGGGAAGAACTGTTTCATTCATGTCTTGAGCAATCCAGCGACTCGTTTGGTCTGCTTGATTTTGAAGTCAAAGCTCTTCTTTCCTTTACCCTGTCACTTTTTTTTTAAACACGGCGTTTTATCCCTGGTTCTCAGCAATTGCTTTCCACTGCAGGGTACCGAGAAGGATTTCTGTGGAAGAGAGGACGCGACAACGGGCAATTCTTAAGTCGAAAATTTGTGTTATCGGAGAGGGAAGGTGCACTGAAGTACTTCAACAAAAATGATGTGAGTACCTGGGGCTGCTGTATGCAGATAGGGGATCACAACTGTAAGAGCATCTTTGAACCCGTAATTCCTAGGCCATCATAAGTCCCCAATCGCTGCAGGACAAGGTTGCCAGGTACAGCTCACCGCTCTCTTTAGCAGGGTTTGCTCTTGGTCCACCGCAGTCACGGTGAGACACCCTCACTGGCCATTTTACACATTCCT